CTATCTCCAAGAATTCCTTAACCACCACGTTGGGATTGCAAACTTGTATGCCGGCTCTCCTTGTTGCATCTTGATACCAGGCACCGCTCTGTCTTCTTTATCCACTTTATGCTCTTTGCTTGCGGGTTTCTCCTTTCTTTTCTCTTTCTGTATTTTCATTCTTTCTTTCTTTTGATTGGTAACCACTTGGAAGCCTTCTTCGTTGTTATCTTGTTCGTGCTGGTCCTGACTTTGCCTCTGAGACTCCTTTGAGACTGGTTCACTCAGCGTGTCAGCTTTGCCTTTCTTTGGATCCCTTTTTTCCTAGATGTTCTTGATGCCTCCCTTTTCGCGCCTCTGGACCGGACCATCGCAGTACCAGTGGATGCTGCTCTAGGGTGGTACCTTAAAGAGATTGCCAGTTCCTTCTGGAAACTCTCACCCCCTTTTCTTAAGGTCCTTGGTCAGTGAAGTTAAGTTATTAACCAGGTGAAAAGCCTTCTCTACTCCCATCTTGACGTCTTGTGGGTTATACTTCAACATCCGTCCTCCAACACCCGACAATGCCTCTTGTAATGATTCCAGCAAAAGGTTTTGTTTCTCCATCATCAGCAGTAATGGCTTCCAGTTTTCTGAAGGCGCACCCCTAAAAATATGTTCTCCTGAACTAGTGCCTTCATATGAGGACCTAGTAGCATCTTCTGCGCTAATACAGCTTCGTTTCCATTGGACAATTCACTAATGTCTGATACTTCCAATTTTTGTGTCAATGCGGGCTCTTTTGGCGAAGATGGTGGTGTTCGCCTCAGTAAAGAGCTCTTAGCAAACGCGTTCTCTACATCACTCAATTTCCTTCCTGGTGCGACTGACGTCAAGTGCTGCACTCCAGAATCCAGCGAGCTGACTGCCGAAGCAGCGCGGGATTCTAAGCATACTGCTCTACCCGCCTGGGGTACCATTACCTTGTTTTGACCCGACACCTTTGGTTTTGGGATATTCTCTTTGCGGAGTGGAGGAAAAATTCTAAGCCGATAACTCCTTCGATAGGGTAGGATAGGATAAAAAAGGGTAGAAGATAGGAGATAGGAAAAAGGAAAGGACAAGGACAGCTCTGGGTTTAGCTGCATAAAGAAAACCTACCAAACCCCAAACTCCCTGTCAGGGCCCTGGGGCCGACGCTCCCCATATATATCTTCCCTTAAAACCAGCTTTAAAAGTAGATATTATTATTATCTGTAATTTTTTTACAATATTGAGAGACGTTTTCAGTTTGTTTTGGCTGGGAGATATGAGCTTCAGGTCATCCATATATAGCAAATGGGAGAGACAATCATTTGCTCCTTTAAGTTGGTAACCTAGGTTGGCCTCGTTGAGCAGCGTGCTTAAAGGAACCATCGCAATCACAAACAGAAGAGGTGACAAGGTATCACCTTGATATATACCTCTTTTTATCTGTATGGGTCCTAACTCTATTTCTTCCCCATTATTACTGACTAACAGGGTAGTACTCCATAGCGAAATCAATCGCTTACATAGATCAATGATCTTCTCAGATGTTCCTATAAGCTTCAGAGATTTCAGGAGCCAGCTGTGCGGGACGCTGTCGAATGTCTTTCTATAATCAATCCATCCAATGCTAAGATTTTTTTTTGTTCTCTTTACAATCTTCTACAATGGCTTTCGAGAGGAGTAGCTGATCCTTGCAACCAAAAGAGCCCTTGCCACAGCCTTTTTGTTCAGTTGGTATTATCTTATTATCATTTACATAATCAGATATTCTGCTGGCTACTACTTTAGTTAACAATTTGTACAAGGTGTTCAGACAGGTGATAGGCCTGTAATTTATTATTATTATTATTATTATTATTATTATTATTATTATTATTATTATTATTATTATTATTATTCATTAATCATCTAACTGATTCACAGGCTTCCCTGGGTTAAGAACGGTGGCACATCGGTTTTGAAACAAGATGGCCCGTTCGAGGATGATGTTAGAAACATCTTGTTCTAGTTGCCGCCTAAAACTCTACGGACTACACTGTATGTGTCCAACACGACCGACTTTTGCATGGATAAGTATAATTCAAACGGTAATCCTAGTTGTTGCAGTGATGTTTTTAATTTTTTAGGTATTTCTCCAGTTGCTCCGATCACAATGGGGATGATGACTACTGTTTCCATGTCCCACATCTGGCGGATTTCATCGCTCAGGGGTAGGTATTTATTGATTTTTTCTCCATGTGTCTTTTCTAGGTTGGCTCCCAATGGCACAGCGAAATCTATTATGTATGTTTTGTTTTCATTTTTTAGAGTGAGCACGATATCCGGTATATTATTACTTATCGGTCTATCAGTTATAATTTTTCGATTCCAGTAGAGCCGGGTTTGTTCATCTTTGCACACAGCAGGTGGCTCGTATAAATAGTACGGCACTATTTTTGTCAATCCCATGTACTTTTCACGAAGGCTTTGGTGGATTATCTTTCCGACTCTGTTGTGCCTGTCTAGGTAGGATTTCGGTGCCAACATTGAGCAGCCAGCGATGATGTGGTCCAAGTATTCATCCTTTTCACCGCACACACGACATCTGATATTGTCTTGTCGTTCCCGCATTATGTTTCTTTTATATACTTTAGTTGCGATGACCTGATCTTGGATAGCAGATATGAACCCTTCTGTCTCAGCAAACAGGTTTCCAGAGCGGAGGTAGGCCGTGGATGCGAAGGTATCGATCTTATCGCTCTCGAGTAGGGTGCGGTATTTACCATGAAGTGCCTTACTCTTCCATTGTTGCAGTTGTTGCTCGGGTATGAGCTGGACCACACTAAGGCTGAAGTTTTGGTCTGCCAGTCTTAAAGGAGTAGCCTTATTGTCCGCCCTTATGATAGCGTGGTGAATCTCACTGGACGCAGCTCTGGCGAGGAAGTAGTTCCTAAGGTTTGTTACTTGCCTGTTGTGGTTAATAACTAGATCAGGTATACCTCTTCCACCCAACTTTCTAGGCAAGTGGAACCTTTACAATGATGAACGTGGATGATGTGCTCGAAATTTGCTGAACTCTTTTCTGGTTTTGATATTGAGGTTTTTGAGCTCTGTTGCTGTCCAGTGAATCACTCCAAAGCTATAAGAAACTGCAGATGTGGCATAGGTGTTAACTGCTTTTGCCATGTTCCTGGCAGACAGTTTAGTCTTCAGTATCGACCGGATTCTTTTAATGTAGGTGTCACTTACTTTCTGCTTTGCTGCTGTATGATCTAGACCTCTTGCTTGCAGATATCCAAGATATTTGTACCTTTCTCCCTCTTCCATTCCGGCGATGGTTTGCCGCTGAGCAACTTCATATCCCGCGTGATGTACCCACTGGCCCTTCTCCATCCCGCTGGTCCTACATTTGTCCAGCCCAAATGACATTTTTATGTCGCGACTGAATCGAGTGACACAAGTCAAAAGGTCATCGAGGTGTTTCTTAGATCTTGCGTATAGCTTTAAATCACCCATGTACCAAAGGTGGCTAATATTCTTGTCTGAGTGTGGCAGTTTATAACCTTTTCCGTGCCTATTCAACATAGTTGTCAGGGGTCGCAGCGACAGACAGAACCATAGCGCACTTAATGCGTCTCCCTAGAATATTCTCTTTTCTATTTTAATGGTGCCTGCATCTACACTTTTTTGATTGGTGTTTAAAACAGTTTTGGTTTTCCACTGAGACGCAGCGTAGTTCAGTAAATTCAGTACATGGGGCTCGACTTTATAAAGCTGTAGCTGTAGCCAGGAATGAGGCACGCTGTCAAACGCTTTTTGTAGTCTATATACGCTGTGTACTCGTGTGAGCGTTTCGCGTGAGATGTGATGACCATGTCGATTATTAATTGTTCCTTACACGCTCTAGATTCTTTTCGACAACCCTTATGCTCTTCACCCAACAGATTATGTCTTTCCAGGTAGCTGTATATCCTTTCCGATAGGAATGACATGAGTATTTTATATATTGTAGGAAGGCAGGAGATCGGCCTATATTTGGATGGATCTTCTGAGGAAACCTTTGTTTTTGGTTTCAAGTAAGTAATCCCACTGGTCATGAATGGTGGTAGTTCCTCAGGATTGGACAGCAGGTGAGTTTAACATTTGGCTAGATGTTCATGAATGACCTTGAATTCTTTATACCAGAAATTTGGGGTCTTATCCTGTCTAGGTGCCTTCCAATTCAAGGTCTTGTTTATAGCCTTGGTTACTTGGTCGGTTGTTACTTCCCATTCCAACATAGTATGGAGGTTAGATGTCGACTTCTTCTCGTCAAACAGCCAACCGGTTTTGTTGTGAATCACACGGTGTCCCCAGATTGACTCCCAAAACGTCTTCGTGGCCGCTGATGTGGAGACCTTATTTTCTTGCAGGGTTTGAGGCTCCTGATCTTCAGACTCTAAATAATTATAAAAGCTCCTTTCACTCCTGTTAAACTGATTATTGTGCGGACCTCTTGTGTTACTTGCCTTATACCTTCGGATCTTTTTAGCCATAGCTTTGAGTTTTTGTTTAAGGTGATCCAGAATTTCTGTTGCTGTTAGATTTTCGAGGCTTTGTTCCCTTTCAAGAATGGCTTTGACTTTCTTGGTGACTAAGCTGCCGGGATTCAGGCTTTGATTTTGTGTCATAATTTCTATGTCCTGCTTAATACTATCGATTTTATCATTAATTCGGCGCTGCCATGCTGGCGTGACTGGGACATTTTTAACATGCGAGGCCGTGGAGACTTTGTGATCGTTTAGTGTTAGCACTGTCGCTGCTCCACTATAAATAAGGCTGTGCAGCCTTTCGATGGGTATATTCGTTGTTATTTTGAAATCCAGAATTTTGTTGATTTCACTTAATATAGATTTTTTCTTGTTATTATAAATTAGTTTGGGAAGTCTAGGTTTCATCATCGGGTCCATTCCATCATAAAGTAAATGAATCCTTTCAAATTCCAACTCAGCAGCAGAGGGTGGTCTGTTAGTCTCCAGTACTGGGGCCACTGGTTCATCGTCGGCATTGGGGAGATCAGCATTGAAATTTATAGATAGTTCTGTCGCTACTTCGCTCTTTATTTGTGTAATAATATTTGATCATAGGCGTCTATTTATAAATATAGATCTTCGCTGGTCTATGATATTTGGTATACTCTTATGTCGAAGCATTGCAAATTTTTCAGTTACCAGTCTATGTAGTTCTCGGCTGTATGGAGTTATGGCAGTTTCTAGTCTGGTTATTCTGTAATAGCGGCGAATCATGAATGCATTGATTTCTTCTGTCCACATGATTCTTTGCCTAACTGTGCCTTGTGACGTGGGGGGCATGGGCTCTGATAGTTCAGCAACACCGACATCCTGGCTTGGTAGGTTTGTTGGTGGTGTACTCATCTGGGTTGGTAATCGGGCTAGTCCTTGTTCATTGCCGCAGTAGTTTGCAGGTAGATCTTCAAGACGGTTCCGACCCGGCTCCTGCTGCGCCGGCCCGCCTGAGTATCTTTTATTTCTCGTTTTAAGAGCATTTAAATATACACGTTCTATTATTATTAACTTCTATGGTTATGAGCCACATTTAATAATATAGTGTATAAATGCAAGTATAAGTAAAAAATATATAAATGATAGTATAAAAAAATATATAATCTCTTACATGTCTAAGTGGGTAAATGTCGGAATTTTTAAACTAAGTAAATATGTAAATTTCAGATTTTAATCAAAAAGGAAATATCTACTATTGTCATTTACTGCCAGATTCTATTAGCAACAAAAAGATAAACTCTGGGAAATATTACAAAACTAAATTTATCAGTTATATATTTATGATTATTATTTTTTTTGTTTTGTTTCAGCAGCATCGACAGTCATTATCTGCATTTCACGATCTTTTTTGCGTTCACATAAGTATTTCAATTTATACAAATTCTATTAATACATATTATTATTATTATTCATTGATGCCATCGTCCAATAAATCTTGCAATCCAGCAGTGTATATGTTAAATAATATAGGTGAAAGAATTGATCCTTGAGGATACCATTAATGACAATACGTGGTCCATACAGTTCATTCATATGATTACATGTAAAAATGTTTCTATTCGCATAAAGAGCTATAATAGATGCAGCAGCTCCCTCACTGATACCCAGAAGTTCGTCCAATTTGACGTCATTGTAGGCACCTTTTACATCCAGGAATAGACAGGAGGTGTATTTTTCTGGGAAAAGCTGACATAGATATCAGATGTGAGGTGAACTAAGGCATCCATGGTACCATGGCTTTTTCTGAAGCCATATTGTGTTCTAGGTAACAACGAATAGTATTCAACGAACCATTCTAGACGAGTCTTAATCATCCTTTCAAATGTTTTTGTGAGACAAGACATAAGAGAGATCAGCTTATATGAATCAATCAAATCCGGATTTTCACTGGATTTTGAGCATATGACTATCTATCTCATGTTGTCCACAAAATCCTTTTTTATCCACCAATTGTTATATAATTCTAAAAGAAGAATTTTCGCAAATTGTGGCCAAGCATTAATCATCTTATAAGTAAAACTGTCCAATCCAGGAGCAGAGCTATTTGTATTTTTTAGTGCATTTTCCAACTCTTCCATAGAAAAAGTTTGCTCAAGACTGCTATTTTTATTGGTGAATGTAGGTCTGGTTTCATAAGAAACACTTGAAGATGCTAATGCCGGAGCAAAGAAATCGAGCAGTTTTTAAATTGTTTCGTTCGTAAGAACAGTTTTTTTTATTCTATTGAAGAGTTTCTTATTGCTTTTATGTCTTTCCAAATTTCAGACATCGGGGTGCTTTTGTTGAGGGTATTAACAAACTTTTTCCAACTATTGCGTTTCTTTTTGTTGATTAGTAATTTAGATTTTGCCTCTTGTATTTTAAATAGTTGTCAAAATTTGATATTGATTTATATTCACTAAGGGCTTGTTTGCGCGAGTCAATGCCTCGAGAGTATTTATCATCCCACCAAATGGGTTTCATAGTTTTTGGTTGGAATGGTTTTTTATGGCCATAGCTGCATCTGCTTCCGTATTGACAGCATGAAAAATTGCCATGAATTTGTCAGTGTTGCTTTTGCATCACTCTGTTGTTGATTTTTTTTGTGTTAGTTCCTGGAAGATCTTCCAGTTTACCTTTCGATTATTCTATCTAGTAGATGGACTGACTAGAAAGACACCCTTCTTGGT